CATATCTTGTGCCGAAATGCATTTGTCGAAGTCAAACGTTTGGGCTCCAAGATGGCGGACGAGTCAGCTCCCCTTTATCTAGTAGCTCTAGTTGGGTCAGTTCCGGTCCCGACCGGCGCAGATGTGGGACGTTTTACTGTATCGATCTGACGATAGAAATTACGAAACAGAAAGAAAGTCACGGAGTGACTTGCATCTCACGATTCGCCGATGCCGCGAGAAATGGTCCACGAGGTGCGTAAACGTCCAGTTATATCTTTTTCCTTCCCCTCGTTCTTTCCCATGTGAACATGAGCGAAATGCGGTGATGCGCGCGCGAATCATCTTTTAAACTTGTATAATACATTTATTACGTTCTATCGAGACGACCTTTCGGTCGCGATACGGCAATACTGCTCTGGATATGACAAACAGGTCCGCATAAATTAAAAAGGAAAAGATCTTGAATTAAATGAATTATTTATTCTCCTTTCGGGCGATACACATTGGCGCTTTTTTCAGGGAGCGTTCCCCCAACCCTTTACATCCTTAATCTCCCCTTCTCTCTCGCGATCTGGCCTTCTGCGACCTTTACATACAGTAAAACGTCCCACATCTGCGCCGGTCGGGACCGGAACTGACCCAACATCTGCGTCAGAAAGCGGCGGTGGTGGGGGAGCTAACCCTCTTGAAAACGCGAAGATGTGGGACGGAAAAAAGCGAAGATATGGGACGCGCGCAGATGTGGGAAGCGCAGATGTGGAACGTTCCACTGTACTTGTACCCTCCCTCCCACACGAATTCCCCTTCTCTTCCTCCTCCCTAATCCCAGTCAGTGTATTCAAAAAGTTCCAGGACTGGTCGCACACAGATCAAACAACGCCATGTATTGACTCCTTTTTAATATCAAGCTTCTACATAGTCTCCCACCAATTCGATACAACGCTTAGAACGAGTCTTCAGGTCCATCATCGCCTTCTGGAACGCCTCCACTGGAATACTGTTCAGTTCCTTTGTCACCGCCTTTTCAATCGCCTCTACTGACTTATATCGATGTCCCTTCATCTTCAATTTTAGCTTGGGAAACAAAAAATAGTCTGGGCGATCGAAAGTAGAGGCGATTGAAAAGGCGGTGACAGAGGAACTGAACAGTATTCCAGTGGAGGCGTTCCAGAAGGCGATGATGGACCTGAAGACTCGTTCTAAGCGTTGTATCAAATTGGCAGGAGACTATGTAGAAGCTTGATATTAAAGAGGAGTCAATGCATGACGTTGTTTGATCTGTGTGCGATCAGTCCTGGAACTTTTTGAATACACTGTGTATACCTATTCCATTCTTCTTTCCTCTGTCTCCTTCCCTGTCCCTCCTCTCCAGTCTCCGTTCTCTGCCTCTATTTCCTCTCTCCATTTCTCCTTCCATTCTCCTTGACTCTCCTTCTTTTTAAAAAGTAAAAGTTATTCGAGAAGAAAATAAAAAAGATATTTTTGTCGACGAACCATGTTACGAAAGAGTTTATATAAAGTACACACGAGTTATTTTGTAGGAACGTCCGTCAAGTGCGAAATTTAACGCGATTTCTAATGATTTGTATTGCGCGACGATGTATGTCCTTTAAAGGAAAATAATAAATTTCAATTTCGTAGCAACTGAAGTGACGCGGCGTTGCGAGGCGCCCGAGTTCGAATTTAATTTCAAGTTCGAATTAAATCCATTATTTTAATAAACGAGTTAATAATCAATTCATGAACGATCAACCCATTGAAAATATTTGTATTGAACCCTTAAATAATAATCAAATGTAATAACTTTGTTTGATGTAGTCGTAGTGTATTAAACATTTTTATAATCCATGTGTTAAAAAATTATATATTTTATTAACGAACTAGAATACAAGTATGGTTAAAAGTTCGTTTGCGGCCTGAAATGCTTCTGCAGTTTGTTCTGTTTGACTTGTAGCTGCGTTGAGTACTTGGCTTGAATTTGCTGTAACTTCCGAACGTCTCGCGTTGTCTTCTGGGCGATTTCCAGCTGTCTAGTCTCGTTACCAAGCGATATCTGTTTCAACGCCTGCTTGCGCAGCCAATAATTATGGTTCTTTATCGTCAATGTGGTTTCCACGGGTACGTTCTGTTTGTAATAAAGTGCCAAGGAACGATGGACGATCGACTTGCCAGACGGTAGCTTCATCACATAAACCTCGTCGTCTAAAGTCTCTGGCGATTCCGGTAAATCTTCATCCGGATCGGCATCCTCGGCGTCCGGATAACTGGACGAGTAATCATAGAAAGACGAATACTCGAGCATTGTCTCTCCTTCGAACAACATCTTGCAGTGGCCCTTCTCGATCATGTGCATCTTCACCGCTTCTCTGCTCTGCATTCTCCTTCCTGTAAAAGTACACAAATTTCAATTTAATTTCAACTTCGTTAAACTGTAACTTTGTTCCGTTTAATTATACGCGTACAGTGAATTTCATGGTTCTGCTGAATAACAATTTATTGCTAGAATAAATAACAATAGATAATACAAGATTCATGATAAAAGGATTTTCGATTTACGGAACTGGCGACGTTTCGCGATCGAATACACGACGCAGTGGGATGGCAACTCGATTCGTAAAAGCTCACCGGTAACGGCAACGGAATTCAGCGGGAAACCGGCACAGTGATTACGCGGGATCGGCTTTACCGCGTCACAAGATCCGAATTCCGCGGCGCCGGGCAAGCTTTATGTAAGCAAGTTTCGGCGCATGATCATTGCCTTTACGGCCATGAAAATGCGTTGATAACTCACGCCTTTTATGACAATGTGAATTAGGCGTCATTACAAAAGGAGATGCAAGCTGCTGCAATAGAAAAGGTAGGGCAGAGCTTCTGAAAATTCGATGGTGTAAGGCAGTGGTTTCTAAAAGCTTCGACTTGAGCTGTGCCGTTGTTGCCATACGGCGCGACTTTCAGAAAGTTCTCTCGCACTGCGACTCGTTATGTGAAATACTGAACATTTAATTAAATTGCACTCGCCTGTTCAGTTTTTAATTCTACTAAAACTTTCTTTCAAGACTAATGGAGTTTTTAACGGAATATAATGGCAAGAAGTACGCGGTGACCACTAGGATTGTGTTGAAAGTAAATTACCTCGTGACAAATAGATCGAAGAAAATTAATCGACCGACATTTAGTAGAGGTTCGTCTGGGCGATACAGTTGGCAGCCCCACCTCCAGACTAAGGCTCAATCAACACAATCCTAGTGGTCACCCTGTACGCAAAAAGTTAACTGAATAAAAGAACATCTCGCTTACCTGACTCATTGCACCAAATACACTGGAATTCGGTACATATTTTCTCTGCCAAATACTCGAGAAGGCCCCCTAGATCCACGCAGTACTCAAGATCAGGTACGAAAAACGAATGCATCTCCACCATGTGCTTCATAATAGACTCTAAATCCATAGTAACACGATAGTAACAGAATAGGCAATCGTAGCACTTAAACTTGTTATACGAGAAAGATTCCAAAGGTGGTGGTTCCGAATCTGTGTCGCTTTCCTTCTCGTCTGTATCTCTCTGAATATTGCTGAAAGCAAGCTTTTTCTCTTGCCTCTTTTTATGAGTCTTCGAGGACATATGATGCTCGTACTGTTTCTGATCCTTAAACTCCTTCTGGCAAACCTCACAGCTCTGTTTATTTTTATCATCCAAGCTATTGGCGGACTTCGTCAGGAAGTCCTCGAGACTCATCGAATGCAATCCATTCGTCGTTAAATGAAGATTGTACCTATGCCATTCGGAACGATAATGACTTCTGAATATCGCCAAATCTGTGAACTTGACTTTGCAGGTCCAACAAGTAAAGCTCTCCTGAGAATTGCTCATTGTATTTCTCGTCCTTCAGTAAGCTGCAGTTAATGTGTGCCTGGTGGGATTCCTATCGTACACAGAAAAAGAAAAAGCAAGATTTAGTTTAATGATAATAAATAAAGTTGCGTAATTGTGTAAATTAGCTCTCGTTTAAAATACAAAATTTATTTCAACATTTTTATTCACGTTATTAAAATATACACAGGCTCCACGAAGGCTACAACATTTATCGTGTTCAAAAAGTCTATTTTATTAAATAACTCAAAATCATTAAAAAAGTACGTGTAGACGAGCAAGTTATATATCTGTGCGAAAATAACTTGATAAATTCAATACGAAGATTCTCGATACTGTGTATCACGTGGTGTCTTAGAGGTTAGAGGAAGTGAGTAACCGTTTCTTAAAAGTTTTCTTGTTGATTCGTCAAATGTACAATGTTTGACTCACCTATTCCGATAATTTCGAGGAATGTTCGCGTAACTCTCGTATATAAAAATCGACAATCTGACAAAATCTTTCGACACAAGTATCACAGAGAAGTCAAGGAACGGTCCACAAGAGACTACGTCGTAAGCTACCAGAGAGAAACGTGAGAGCGGTCATCGGGCCATCGCAAGTCTACTAGCTCAGAAACAGATGTGCCCCCTGACAAAGTGTATGTCAATTACGTCCGTTCACTCGGTAACGGTACACAAGCTACGGTTCATGTTCAAACTTCTCAAATGGATACAGTCGGATGAGATAAACAAGCGAATCAATTAATCGTTCTGACTTTGTATTATTTAGAACAATAGATTTATTCACTCAATTATCTCATCTGACTCATATCCGTCTGAGAAGTTTGGACATGAACCATAGCTTGTGTACCGTTACCGAGTGAACGGACGTAGTTGACATCCACTTGGTCAGGGGGCGTATCTGTTTCTGAGCTAGTAGGCTTCAGCGAGGAGCACACACTTTTGCATAAGTGCATAAGCATATGCATAACGAATTTGATTGGTCCACTTCGTTGTGCATTTGCTTATAGACCAATCAAATTCGTTATGCATATGTTTATGCACTTATGCAAAAGTGTGTGCTCCCCGCTTTCCGGTGGCCGCTCTCGGCTTCTTCTCTGGTGCTACAAAAGTAGCAGAGTTTGCATCACTCCTGCAAACTCATAAAGCGGAACGGTGTACGCAGAAAATCGACCGATCACGAACGTTCCGCTGTTTTCGTGAATGGTCAAGAATACAACATTGATCGAAAAGTCTATTTTATTAAATAACTCAAAATCATAAAAAAACGTACGCGAAGACGAGCGAGTTATTTATCTGTGCGAAGATAACTTGATAAATTCAATATGAAGATTCTCGATACTGTGTATCACGTGGTGTCTTATACAGGGTGTCAGATTCGATTTGGATCACTCCAAAGATTATAGTAGATTGGGTCAAGCTGAGAAGAAAAGTTATATACCATTTTACAAAATTCGTAATTATTATCGCGTAATTAAGAAAAACATCTGAGCCAATAAGTGCACGGAGGAGCTGAAGGCCGGACTCGGCAGACATGCAAAATGGTATATTATATATATGTATTCTCCTACCACCAGAAAAACTTTTTCGGCGCGGTATCATATGTCGCGCGTTCGCTTGCTGCGCGCCGTTCGCCCGCTCACCGCTCCCTGCCGCTCCCCGCTCGCCGACGTCTCTCATCGATCGATGCGTGACTCCACCTCTCGCTATCGGATCTTGAGAAATGTCAACAGATACACCATTTTGCATGTCTGCCGAGTCCGGCCTTCCGCTCCTCCGTGCACTTATTGGCTCAGACGTTTTTCTTAATTACGCGATAATAATTACGGATTTTGTAAAATGGTATATAACTTTTCTTCTCAGTTTGACCCAATCTACTATAATCTTTGGAGTCGTCCAAATCAAATCCGACACCCTGTATAAATGTATTATACCAGTAATATCACTGCAATATAATATATTTATAATATAATTATAACATTATTGATATATTACGTAATAGTATGTGATATGTGGAGACTTTATCGACAATGCTTGAAAATAGGCGTAGCGGAGTAGTTCCAAAAATAAAAATAGGTATAAGGCACTCAAAACCGCTTAGCAACAAGGTAAGAAGTAAAAGGCCGGCGTGGTCGCTTTCGGTTTTTTTTTGAAGAAACCGTTAGCAGCTAGTTAGCAGTGTTGCCTTGAGAACGTCAGTCACATCGGTGGTGGGGATGGGATGTGGATAGGTCTCGTGCTGCACACAGGCTACCTGCTGTATTTCCCCGAAGTAATACTTTTGTCAGGTGGTCCCGGGGAACTCGTCTATAGTGCGAAGGACGGTTCTAAGAGAGATGTTTTTAGTCGGTATTCCCGCTTCTCGGGTGAGTCTGGCACATCCACAGTGGTACAGCACCCTGTAACGAATGCGTAAATGCATTTTCCCCTGCTCTCAGAGAAAAAAAAAACTACCTGCTGTATATGTGTGCGCATGTATGCGGCACGGGAGCCATCCATACATTCTATCCTGACCATACTTAAAATACTCAGGCCAGAAGTCTAATGAAAAAGATATTGGTATTGATTGGTATTTGAAATTTTCCATTTTTTAATCGTGAGCAATTTGAAATTGATTTTATAATATTACAAAATTCCTACACATTATATTACGCAGAAAAACAAACTCAGTGAGAAATGATTCGTCGATTGACGTCGAAACGACGTCGAATCGACATCGACACCATCGAATTGACGTCGATTCGACATCATTTCGACGTCGATCGACGAATCATTTCTCACTGGGAAAGCGGGGACTTCACGACTCTATGTAAAGAACGAAGAGAAATTAAAAACATCAATATCTTTTTCATTAGACTTCTGACCTGAGTGTTTTAAGTATGAAAATGTTCTGCTATGCGGTCCGCAACTTATCCCGGCGATATTTGGTGCATAAAAGCTACTAAAAAGATTTACCAGTGCGAAAACTATATTCGAATGATTCAGTAAAACACATGACTCTAGGATCCTATTAATGACGCAATAAAACATAACGAGACGTTATTAAAAAGTCATGTGACATCATCTCGCGCTACTTTGGATCTGATATATTGCAACAATATTACTGTTATATGTATTACTGTGTAATATTTATATGTCATATATCAGAAATATTAATGTAATATTGCGATGTATTATATTAATGTATTATATATCAGTAATATTACTGCAATATTATAATATTACTGATATATTATGTCAGAGCTGTCCACGAACTGCTCATTTCGGTCGATTTTCGCGAGGTACCGTCTATTTGTACCCCTTATTCCAGTCATCTAAGGCTGATGGCAGAGAACAATCCGTAAACGCTTAAAACTGTCTCAGTCGTAGACGTAGGGCAAGGCAGAGAGAAACGTAAGTCGTATACAATAGCCTTTCACGACTTACGTTTCTCTCTGCCTTGCCCTATGTCTACGACTAAGCCAGTCTAAGGGTGCGTATACACTACGGCGAACGAACGGCGAACACGAATGCACAGTATAACCAGTATGCCCACTCGCTCTTTTGTTTCACGTTCGCGCCGATCCGTACTGCGCATCCGACATGTTTTTATTATAACCAATCACAGGATTTTTGTACGTGTGTTAGTGCAAAGTCGGTGTGACATAGAAAAATTCGCAGTGTTGACGAATAACGCGTAAATACTTTTATACGTTGGAGCAAGTAATTACATTAATTACTTTTATTAGAACATTTTCTTTCGTAGGCCATTTCTATTTACAATAAATAATGTACGCCAGTTCGTATGCGCCTTTCCTGGATACGATCCTGAAAAGGGCCCAGGCACTTTTAGCCGTTGATACACTGTTGGATATAATAAAAACATGGCGGAAAATTGAGAACGCTCAGATCAAAGGTGCCGACAGAGAGTGGGCATACTGGTTATACTGTGACGAATGTTCGGACGTTCGTATTCGTATTCGAATCCCGTCCACACTGCGCACGAACTTTCGACTCGGACCGAAGGCGAATCGAACACTACCGATAGTTCAGTTCGCATTCGCTGTGGTGTACATATCTGTCTAATTCGCTGTTCGTTCGCCGTTCGTTCGCCGTAGTGTATACGCACCTTAAGGCTGCAGGGTCTACATTGGATGTCGTAAGTCGTGTCGGAAGAAATTGACCAATCACAGTTCATTATTCTCCTTACGGTCGAAGAATAATGAACTGTGATTGGTCAATTTTTTCCGACACGACTTACTACATCCTATGTAGACCCAGCCTTAAGCGTTTACGGATCATTGGCTGTGTTCTGCCGAAGTTAGCTAAGAATAAGCGCTAACTTCTGGAGAACACAGCCATTCTCTGCCATCAGCCTTTCAACCGTAACCAAGCGCACGGCGCTCAGCTTCAGGTACGACGTATCGGTAACCCGACGCCGTTGCGTGCCTCTTGACTACCAAATGTCAGTTTCTAAAACGTGATTTGTTTAAAATCTTTTTAAATACTTACTAAATATACTCTCGTAAATATAATTCATAATCCGGAATAAAGTTTCTGAGTCGTTGAAACGGTCCATAACAGCCTACGTCGTAAGAGCAACAGCTGGCAGCGACGAAACCTCCGATACTTTTGCAGCACGCTGCGGTCTGCGGTAGGAGAGAGCATAACGCACACAAGGAAGCAGCCCGGGTACGCCGGGCGCACGCGTACTCGGCTGCTCGCTTGTGCACAATATGCCCATTCGCTCTTTTGTTTCACGTTCGCGCCGATCCGTACCACAGTATAACCAGTATGGGCACTCGACTCTGTCGGCATCTTTGATCTGGGCGTTCTCAATTTTCCGCCATGTTTTTATTATATCCAACAGTGTATCAACGGCTAAAAGTGCCTGGGCCCTTTTCAGGATCGTATCCAGGAAAGGTGCATGCGAACTGGCGTACATTATTTATTGTAAATAGAAATGGCCTATGAAAGAAAATGTTCTAATAAAAGTAATTAATGTAATTACTTGCTCCAACGTATAAAAGTATTTACGCGTTATTCGTCAACACTGCGAATTTTTCTATGTCACACCGACTTTGCACTAACACACGTACAAAAATCCCGTGATTGGTTATAATAAAAACACGTCGGATGCGCAGTACGGATCGGCGCGAACGTGAAACAAAAGAGCGAGTGGGCATACTGGTTATACTGTGATTGCCAATGTCCACATTTTGCCAAGTGGGTAACACAGATTTGCGAAATTTTGGTTGCGTTTCGTGCTATAGTCAGGTTCTGTGCGATGCTCTTGTACTTAAGATTATTTTAAGTACAAGATCGTTGCATGGGATCTAACCATAGCGCGGGACGGGGCTAAAATTGTGCAAATCTGCGTTACCCACTTAGCAAAATGTGGGATGGCAGTCGATTGTTGATAGTCGATGCGAGAGTTACTTAATTGTACATTCCTCGAAATTATCGGAATAGGTAAGTCGAACATTGTCCAATTGACAAATCAACAACAAAACTTTTAAAAACTCACTTTCTCTAACCTCTAAGACACCACGTGATACACAGTATCGGGAATTTTCGTATTGAATTTATCAAGTTACCTTCGCACAGATAAATAACTCGCTTTAAGTCAATTAAGTCTTACTAAGTCAAACAGAACAAACTGCAGAAGTATATCAGGCCGCAAACGAAATTTTAACTATATTTAATTGTATTTTTATAAATTAATAAAATATATCATTTTTTAACACATGGATTATAAAAATGTTTAATACACTACATCAAACAAAGTTATTACATTTGATTATTATTTATGGATACAATAAAAATATTTTAAATGAGTTGATCGTTCATGAATTGATGAATAGATCGTTTATTAAAATAATGGATTTAATTCGAACATGAAATCAAATTCAAACTCAGGCGCCTCGCAACGCCGCGTCATTTCAGTTGCTACGAAATCGAAATTTATTATTTTTCTTTAAAGGACATACATCATCACGCAATACAAATCATTATAAATCGCGTTACAATTCGCATTTGACGGACGTTCTTATAAAATAACTCGTGTATACTTTATATATACTCTTTTGTAACATGTTTCTTCGACAAAAATATCTTTATTTTTATTTTCTTCTCGAATAACTTTTCCTTTTTAATTTATGTGGACCCGTTTGTCATATCCAGAGCAGTATTGCCGTATCGCGACCGAAAGGTCGCCACTTTCGATAGAACGTAATAAATGTACAAGTTAAAAGATGATTCGCGCATCACCGCATTTCGCTGATGTTCACATGGGAAAGAAAGAGGGGAAGGAAAAAGATATAACTGGACGTTTATGCACCTCGTGGACCATTTCTCACGGCATCAGCGAATCGTGAGATGCAAGAAATAGAACAGTATTTAATACTTTGTGACTTTCTTTTTGTTTCTTCTTTCCTATCGTCAGATCGACATTTTGCTGTACTTTCATAGTAAATAATATTCCTTTTTAATTCTCAAATATCTTCTCTAAATCCTTGCTACATCGCCTCTCTTAAGGCCTGTGCCCACGATAGAACTTGGTCTAAGTTCTAGAGAGTTTCCGAGAAATGTGTAGCGAGTCACCTTGCAGCTTTTATGGAAGAGCTGTAAGTTGATTGGCTGTATATTTCTCGAAATACCTTGGACTTAGTTCTAGCATCGTAGACACAGGTCTTTATGCCAAAATCAAAAATGTGCAAATTTTCACAAAATGGTGAAATAGTTAAATTTGTAATTAAAAACTGAAGATCTCAATTTTTTAAATTTAACTATTTAATTATATTTCGTTAAAATTTGCACATTCATGATTTCGGAATAAGAGGGATATATTTGCATTCTTACTACTTTTTCTTAATTAATTACGAAAAATATATGTATATTAATTACAATGCATATAATATCACTGATATTAGAACTGATGTTTTGTTTTCTGAAAAAGTGTGCCACAATTGTTAAACGGAATATATCTTTCGAGAGAAGATTCTTATATATATTTTATATTTATCGTTCAATTAAATTTGATCACTTACGTCCTTTTCAACGTATACATATAAAAGTTAAATATTAGCGATTTTATATTTCGCATATCGTCTCTGTTTCGCTAGATCGACTGTTACTCCAATTCTGCGTACAACAGGAATGAAAGACTCGAATACGAGACACTTGTTAGACTTTTAGCGGATTCGCAGCCTGTTCGCTGCATTAAATTATTCAATTTTATTGAATCCTCGTTCTCTTTCTCCCTTTCTTTTAACTTCATCTCGACTTCAAAACATATATACACGGGGCAGTAATACCGGAAATCATTTGAAAATGATATCCGGTTTCGACATGTATTACGTGAAACGCATGATACACTCTCTTTTCCCTTTTGCTTTTAGATAAATATTCTGTGAGAAGGCGTCACGTCATTCGCGACACCGAGACATGTATTAACAGAGCTGTTATTGTCACGACACGACGACGATACACATATCTTTTTTATCTACTTTGCGCTTTGCGCTTTCGCGTTGACGGTTTAATTTAAATGAGCTCTCCGAGAGCATGCGACTTTCTTATTTTATCTTCAATCTAGCAACTTCACCATCAGTTTTAACGCCTGGTGAGGCGGCGCCGGTCTAATAGACTTGTCCAATTCCTCGTATAGAATCTCTGTCTCCACCTGGAAACCGTACTTCTGGCAGACCTTCTGTGAGAATGCGCCGGTCGCGTCGACCTTACACACCTGTGATGGTATAATATATTAGATTGGTTCTTTTTTTTTATTAAATTTTTGTCTTGAATAAAATTCAAACGAGATCTCTCTAAAGTCTTTCAAAAGGAGTTAAGCAAATGTAGGATGAAGCGAGAAGTCTTGAGAAATAGAAATAATTTTAAAATATCGTATCTCCTTTCTTCCACTTTATTTCAGATAAGTTATGATAAATATGAAGAAACATTGTAAGGGATAAATTAACTTGTCTCTTACTTTTCTAACATGTAAATATTAAGATCAAAAGAAACGAAAATATTAATAACACAATTAACAGTTAATCGATCTTACAGTAGATACCATCTGTATATCAATCATTTTGTTAGAATCAAATAGTTCAGATATTTTTAGAACTGGACAATTTATTTATTAATAAATTAGTAAAATTAATCGAATCAATTTAATAACATTTTACCAATAGATGCTAAAAATCAATAAAAATAATTCATAAATTTATATTCATTTACTTTGTGATTAATTTATTACATCATTTATTCATGTTATTAGTTATTAATTCTATTGGTTTATAGATTATTACTTACAATTATTTCTTAATGATGTAATATTAGCCAAACCTAACATTAATGATATTAATTTATAAATAAATGTATTTATTAAATCCATTCTTTGATGGGAAGTGCAAGGGTGCAAAAAATACCTTTCAGAAAAATAATGAGTGATAGATTGCAATTATACCTGGTGAGGAAGTTAACGAAAATCATCCCATGCATATTAACCGAAGAGCATGCTGAAACAAAAGGAAAGTGTATGCTATGTGTGAAACCAGTGATCACGCCAACGCAACGATCTTAAATTAATAAAATCAAAATAAAAGAATACGAGAAGCTCTCTTTATAACATGGAAAATCAATAAACTAACTGCATAAATATATGTATATATTGGTGTTTTGATAAAAAGACATTTTTTGCGAACTTCGTAAATGTCGTACAAAATTGTAAAATATTTGTTTTACTTCTTTGCAAAAAGCATTGATGAATAACTTCTATAGATAATATATCGTGTATGCAGACCGGTAAATAAAATTTATGATAAAAAAATAGATTAATTTGTAATTTAAGATGGAATTAGATTCATAATTGAAATTTCATGCGCACATAAATTTACATAGATAAATTAAATATAAAAGACACACGTGGCAGGAATAAATAAATTACAATTAAGTGAAACTCAAGTTGAGTAATTTACCTTGAAACCGGCATTTTTGGCGGTTTCCACGCTATCAGCCATTAAAATATTGGCCAAGCCTTTGCCGCGGTGATCTGCGTCAACGCTGAGAATCCGACACTCGAATAGCTCAGCTACATCATACTTGGTGAATAAATCAATTTTGTCGTTCAGTTTATAGAGTAATCTGAAGATCGTCTTGAACTTTTCATCCTTCAGCTCATCAAGACGCCGCTCTGCCTCCTCGCGCTCACCTTTCTTCAGGATACCATTTAGTGCCATTCCCGCTATCTGATAAAAATCAATTCTAATAATACTCATTCTTCGTTACGTTAAAACCAGATGTTAAATCCTTTAGAAATTAAACAAAAGATAGAAAAAGATATTAATTATTCGTTATAAGAAAACTAGTTATGGGAATGAATAAAGAGAAAATAATAAATTTAAAAAATATTAATCAAAAATTTCTTCGATACTTTGTTTTGCCAATTATAATTTTTAAACAAATAAAAATATAAGTGGCGGATTAATTCCTATGTAAAAAATGATAAATAAAGTACTTAAAAATAAGCAAATTTATTATTTTTCGAATAATGAATAATTATTCTAAATGATGTAAAAAATATCGGATTATCGAAATATGTATAAACGAATAAATAAGAACGAAAAGATTTAGAACGAGTTAATTTTTGTTTTTTTTTCGAAAACACTGGAAAAATTATTCTATGTGTTTCGCGTCATGGGGTGGTATGGCTCACCGCTCCCTTCTTGTTCACTAGCATCCTGGAGTAACCCTGCTTCAAGGTGAAAAGGCAGTGTCGCTCAAGTTCGCGCTGGGATTCCCCCCTCGAGCACAGCCCCACGGCGTTGTTGAGCGGCTCATCGGCAAAGAAGTTCCATCTTAGGTGGTCGAGCGCCTCTTCGTAGCGATTCTCCGGCACATCGATGACCGTGAGGCAATCCTCGCTAGAAGACGACGACATGTTTTGGGTGGGCGAATTTTCCGCCGCGCACTGAAAGCAATTTCCACACGCGCATCTCCTCGTGAAGAAGGGTGGTCACCACCTCTCGTATGAGAAAACTGCCACCACTATCCCTTCCTCCCGTATAATATTGATCGACCTAGTTCACTGGCGAATACACTAGGTCAGTTGTACACGCCGATTGTGCCACGTTAATTGGGAAATAAAATAATTTAACGAGATTAATCAGAGTTGTGTAAATTAAAATTACATGATCGTTAATCTAATACAATCTGCAAACACTATAATTCTTATTTGATTAAATCTGTTGCTATTAATTCATTTTTTCTTATTAAATCGATTTGCATTTTTTCTTTCTACTTTATCGCGATTCGTCACGCTCAGATTTTATAAACGTAAAAATGTCTATTTGCAAGTAAATTTTGTCAAAATTATATCGATTTTAATTTCGCTTGAAAAGCGAATTCGTCTAAACGAATTGTGATTAAATTTTGTAGTCAATTTTATTGAAATCAAATATAAATCACAAGATTTGCATTTCAATGATTCAACGTTTTCTCTTATCTTAAATATTTCGTTTTCACATTTCAGTAGAAATATTGAAAAGAGCGATGAAGCAAATTGTAGTGATTAATAATTAAAAGATAGTACAAACATACATATATGTATACATATATATATTTCTTTATTATCGGATTGTACAATTCCTCGCATCATAAAAGCCGGAAATGACACGTATGATGATGGAATGATTTGCGACATATGGAATTAAAATTGTGTTAAACTTTTCGTTATTTAAAATTAAAATACTCGAAATATTTTTATTTGTAAGAAGTAAGAGTGTTAATGTTGCAGCTGTATTGTATAATACGTCTATATATGCATAATCACTAATTCATATAAATTGCTGCCCAAAAAATATTATAAAATGTATTTTTCGATAAACAAAACTATTCACAATGGCTTTTTCAAGGCGGAAAAGGAACTGCCAATGACTTTCTCCAAAATGTACAACCGAGACTGTCGTGGCTCCGAAGTAAATTTGTGAACGTCTTTTCTATTTAGATATTAACATCTTAACATTTTAACGTATTATTTACAGAATTTAAAACAGTACATCATCATCGCTCTCGTCGAGCAGATTTGCAGCCTCAAAATCGTGGCCGGCTGCAATCATTTGAGCTCTCTCTACTTCAGCCTGTAACAGTGGGAAGCGATTTAGAGATTTGGATAATATACAAATTATTCAAAAAAACATACACAAATAATGAAATATATTCTTAGGGTGTTGATCTCATTCTCTCAATAGGAGAAAAGTGTTAATAGATTTTAATAAAATTAATTATCTAATCGTACCTTTGCCTTGGCAATCTTTTTCTTGTCCTGAATCTTCTTCAGCCGATAGAACTCCTCTCTTTCAAGCTCATCAAGCTCCGAAATAATGTAAGCCAGTGTTCTCTCAATTCGCGGGATGATGACGTGCTCGATAGCATTGACACGTCGATTCGTGATCTTGATGACTTCGTCCAGAGTGACGAAACTCGTTTGCAGCGACGCCAGTTCTACGAGCAATTTCACCGCCCGCTGGTAGTTCTTCTTCAGTTTGGCCAATTGTTGACCGCCTCTGGCCAGACCTGCTAATTCGTAAGTATCCGTTCCATCCTGATAGGACTCGAATATCGGCAAATTCACGCCGGCGACGTTGTCCTTCTTAGAACGGATCTTGATCTGTGCTTTAGTCACATTTTGCAGAACCACCTGATTGAAGTCTCCCGTGGCGAATTTCGCTTCGGCCAACGAAAATGCCGCCTCCTTCATCACTTCACCCATCAGAGTTTTGGTCTGAAGGTAAGAAAAGAATAACGAACAAGTTAGATCTTATATAAATATGTAACAACAAAAAAATATATAAAGCTAGAGGTAGACGCATTGTAATTGGAGTAAACGATTAAGTAGAATAGAGATAAAATTATTGACAAGTACTCATACCTCTATGATTTTTCCTAGTATCATTCTGAAGCGCATTTGCAGCGCATCTGCCTTCTTCTTCAGCAATCCATGTCCCTTTTGTGCCCCGTGTAAGCGAGCCTTCATCAACATTTGGGCCCTAAATGTACAAAACTTTAATAGCGTGCGCAGTCTACGATAATAAATAAATTAATAGATACAATAGCATGTTGCAAAATTCTTAAAACATGTTGGTACCTTTATTTTCCAAATCGTTACCATACACCGATCTTGTGTACTTAAGTTACATATCCCGTTCATAAAATTTACCATTGCGACGTTAAATATACAAATTCGCGAATCAAATTTCTGGACAAACAAGGCGTTTCTGCCGCAAGGCAGAAAAAAATAAGGGATATCGAGCTTTTACTCTTAGACGAACGTCTCGACGACTATCGCTTGCGATGTAATGTACAACAAACAAATGCGCCCAGTAACTTGCAAATGCTCTTTGCGAATATTAAAGTGTTCCAGACGAATAAAAGACGTCAGAATCCTTAAACAAACGTTCACGTTCCTTTAACAGACGAAGGCTGGGGGGTTACACCCAGTGCCGCTCCAGGACGGAATTCCGCTCGCGGATAACTGAACGTCGTATGATAAACGAATGGAAACTGTCGAGATTTCGCAACAATTGGTTGCGCTGAAACGAGAAACTTACCCCCGAGAGGGGAAAATCGGCAGCCTGTCTTTCCCCGACATCTCGACTACTGTGCATCAGCAGACAGGAACGGGATTGATCAGCTGACACGAGAGACCGGAAGCCTGGGCAGCTGACGCGCCCAATGGCGCGCGATTTTAAAAGCGTATGTACGTGCAGTAGCAATCACTGATGCCTTTTCACATGAATTTGTGCACATATCAACACATTTATATACAATAACATCAATGATTTTTATTGACCGTATCTGGCAATTAAAATTCTTATTGCGAAAAATATTATCTCAGCCAGGATTCGAACCTGGGACCTCCTTCAATCCGTGACGGGCATCTTAAACCTCGTCTACATAGAAGTCGTAAAATCGTAGTCGTAAGAATAGTCGACTATGATTGGTCAATTCTTATGTGTCTGACGAAATTGACCAATCGCAGTCGATTATTCTTACGACTGCGACTCTGCGACACGCATTGTAGACCAAGCATAAAGCCTCGTCTACATAGACGTCGTAATGTCGTAGTCGTAAGAATAGTCGACTATGGGTCTGTTTTTTATTGCTGCACTCCTGAACTAGTGCACACTGGTGCAATGAGTTGGAATGAGAGGTAATCTATTTGTTTCATTTTAACTTATTGCACTAGTTCAGTAGTGCAGTAATAAAGAACAGGCCTATTGATTGGTCAATTCTTATGTGTCTGACGAAATTGACCAATCGAAGTCGATTATTCTTACCACTGCGACTCTGCGACTCGCATTGTAGACCACGCATAAGAATTGACTAATCATGGAGTGCTCCCTAATAGCACAGAAATATTTTAAAAGGTTAAATATATTTTAAAATCTTTTTAAAATACTTTATAAATATTTTAAAATATATTGAATCTTTTAAAATATTTCTACGCTATTAGGGGTTACACGGAACACTTAAGCCTCCGCTACAATGATTCTCGGTTCTGTCTACAATGGTCGCAGTCTTAGAATCGTAGAGTCATGGATTGAGTCGTATCGATGTGTAACTGAAACCGATTTTCTGTTTTTGAGGTATTTTCCCACGATATATTCGACATATAATGACACACGACATATAACACTATTCTCTGATTGGTCCGTCGCGGCAATAAACGCAGTCGTGGTCGTTGGAATAGGAATATTGAATCTATTCGAGCGACTACGACTACGACTGCTTTGCGACTGCTCAAGCGACCATCGATACAACTGTACGACCATTGTAGACAGAACCGAGAATCATTGTAGCGGAGGCTTTAATCGGGTTTAATAACATCCGTAGTTAAGGGGCTGGCCAATCACAGTTATTCCATTCTTCTGAAAAGTAGTTGTGATTGGCCAGTTTTATAACTACAGATGTTATTAAACCCGATTAAGCGTTCCGTGTAGCAGCACTCATAGTCGACTATTCTTACGACTTCTATGTGGACGAGGCTTTACTCGATCGCGCGCGCATCGTCCCGTGCCATTCGTACGACAGCTCGAGTCACAATGCGACGCACGTCTGACCTCGGCGCGGCTCGCCGCTTGTTTGTGTCGAGCCGCCGAAACCGCTGCGCGCAAGGTCAGAGAACGTTCCGTGCGCCGCACTATCGTTCGAGCCGCCGGCACGTACGCCACGGAGCGACGCGAGCGTTCATTCACAATCGAGCTTGTCGATTCCGCGGGTGCCGCGGGACGTCGTCTTCGTTTCTTGGAATCTGCGCTTGTCGACACGGAAGGCGGACCGTCGAATCGTCTACCGTTCGCGCTCGCTATTCTCTCGATGTAACTTGAGTAGAGGAAAGTCGCGAGTTTGTCGATCGTCCGTCAATAAAAAGCGTGTGAATTTACGCGTTTATTTGAGATACACTGCGCGAGCGATATTGAAGCGGATACTCAAGTCGCGCCGCTGACTTGACCCGCGTAGAATCGCGCAGTGGCGCCAGGGCCGCCGGGTACGGCGCCATGTTGGTCTGTTCGAGAAGCATCGCGGAGTGCCGCGGACACGCAGCGGATCGGTTCCCCGCGCCGATGTTCGTCGCGACGCTTTTAAGACGGTAGTGAGTTTAACGCCGATCGAGTCGAGCGTATCGCGGCGTAGATTATTCGATACTCACGCGTCGCCGAGACGCGCGAATCTCGCGAGACACCCCGGCCGGAATCTTCGCCGCAGCTGGATCCTCGCGGCGTTGTGAGTACACCGAGCTCCAGTTTTAACTCGCGTCTCTTCGCGCGCGTAGAAATACCCGAGCTTTCCACGCGCGACGCGCGGCGAGAGAAATGTTAGCGCGAGGTCGGCCCATTGAACGCTCGCGTTCGGTTGCGAGACGCGTCAAGCCTCGCGTATCTCCTTCTTGCCGGAGCGTTCCCGCCATTTCGCGCGACGCCATCGCGACGGCTCGTCTTCCCGCGCGCGATTGTATTTCCTTTCCTCGGTCTCGTTGTAACGAAGCTCGCGTCGATTAACGCGCCGGGAGTGCCGTATATCATCATTGCGCCGATTGCTGGTGCGAAATGGAGGAATCTGAGAGGAAGTGGCGGCCTGAGAGGCATCGACCGATAGCGGAGCACCCTCTGGTGAGTACATTAAATTTATGCATTATTCTTGCGTTAACTTCATTCCGCGGATTGTGTTTATTCGCGTTTTTCGTTTATTCGACACGACCGTTCCAATGATTCGCACGAGCATTCGTCAAAGTCGGTCGATCAAATTGAATACATTTAGTCCAGACTCGCACCTAGGGGCATAGTGTGTCAGTAATCAAAGTACGGAAATGCTGGTCTCGCCTGGACCCGGACCTTTGGCGATCTGTCTGTTAATCTGTGATAAAAGTATCTAGTTACAGTTACAGCTTTTTCGCTAAAAACGTAACTGTAATAAACTAACAAGAATAATCTTCAGGGTCGCCAGCAATAATGAACAATATCAAATTTGGTTGACCGTATCTGGCAATTTTAATGTTTAAGAACCGCTACGTTTCGACCATGGGTCTTGGTCCTTTTCTGACTGAGAAAGTCATGTACATGGATTCGCGTGTATTTTGGTGATGTAGAAAAGATTGTCCTTGTATTCACAAAATGCTATAAAAGTGTCGCGTTCCGTGTCGCGGTTTGCTACACAAGAACATTGCTAGAGAGATGACAGAGCATGACTGAGTCAGTAACTATAATAGTTACAGTTACAAGTTACCAAGTGTGAAAAGTAAGGGTGGCGTCACATGGAGCGTAACTTGCGTAAGCGTAACCTGATGCGTATCGCCAGTCACAGGGTCATTCTGATAGAATCGTTTCAATAATTCCGTCGAAATGGTTCTGATTGGTAAAACGCAGGTTACGTTACGCTCCATGTGACGCCACCCTAACGCCTTACAGTTACAGTTACACGAACAGTAACGAATCGTTACTTTACAGTCACTTTCTTGCAATGAAAATAAAAATATCAAATCTGCATTTGAATTGTAAAGCATCGATAAAGGCGTTTACGTGGGGGAAACCGCTGACCAAAATCTTGTATTCCCAGTGGGCATTACTTTATCTTATTATCTTATTTTGTCTTATTTTATCTTTATAATGCCCTAGCAAGGCCTAATGCCCAAACTAATGTCCAAGAAATGTCTAGTAATGTCCAGTAAAGCCGCAAATCTGTACATCACAATAGTCAGTGGTTTCCCCCTTGGGCGTTTATGAGCAAATGCAAGGCCTAATGCGATCTGTGTCGGTCACACTAAATAACCTAATGGCTGAGGGCGTTCCCGTAGAGGGAGAAGGAAAAAACGATCTCTTTATGCATATATAAAGTAACTATTAATGTAACTATAAAATGAGTTACTAGTTATCGAAGAAATGTAACTGAGTTAATCTGCAGATGGAGAGAAAGTAACGAAGTTGACTTAGAGTTTACCAAAAACAAGGTACTGTAACGTCGTTACAAGTAACGAGTTACTTCCCGAACCTGAATATAACGTAAATGTAATTGGGATTGAAAAATGCGCAAAGTGATACTCTCAAATGTACAAGTTTTGACCAAAATAAATATCTTTAATACTTATGTACAAAAGAGGTTGCATCACGGTTCAGTATAGTACAATCTGCCCAGGTTTCAAGACCTGTCTTACATTCATATTAATCCTGGCTTCGGCGATGTAAGTTCGCGCTTTGCGCCAATCGTCCCAATCGTACGCGGGACCCTCGCGACTGTCGCAGTCGTCGTCCCAGGGCGCTTTGAACGCCGGTAATATCCGCGGCACTCCGTGATACCTCAGGCGGGAGCTGCCCGACATTATCACTACGTCTCCACTCCGTAAAAATACAGCGCTAGCCGGATCTTCCTGTCGCGGGCCGCCAATCAGAAACACCGCTGTCTGTCCAAAACTTATGGAGAAAAGCGGCGCCGTGACGTTCGTCTCCGAGTGATCCGTGTGCCCCGCTAAAGTCGAGTTCATCCGGTAATAGTTGACGATCGCAGCCTCCGCCCTGAAGCCCGAGAAGCCTAACGATTGCGCCAAAACGGACGTTAGGCCGGACAATTCCGCCGGCATGTCGCTTTTCGAGTTTTCCGAGTATAACTTGGTGTCCCAATTGTGATGATAGCCAAGCGTCGCCCATCGTAGCTTCGGTAGGAGATTTTTAGCCCTCTCCGTTCTACACGATAAACGAAAACAATCAAAATCTTAATACAGACATCAATACAGCTTAGACACCTGTATTTAATTATTACAAAAATCTGTATTTGCTAGAAATATTAATTCATTCAAATCTAAGTGTTTTTATCACAAGAGCTACATCAGTAACTAATTCGACAATCGTTTCTTACTGAAAACATATGTCCCACCACGTTTCGTTATCCAAAACGTTATGAGCGTTTATGTTTAACTTGTACGGCTCCTTGGAGTAGTCTTTCAGACACTTCGTGATCCAGTATCGTTGACCATCGGGTGTAAATGGATTCTGAATAAAGATGAAGCCTGAAAATACAGACAATATAACAGAGACTAATACAAGTCTAGTAATAAGAATAAGCAGATACGTAGAATTAAATATATTCATTCTGTTTCATTACAATCTCTCACGAATCGGTTAGGCCTGGTTTCACCAGCGTTGTTTAACTTTAAGCTCAGTTTAACTCATTCTGTCTCTTTCCAACTGTTACTCTAGAAAGAGACAAACATGAATTAAACTAAGATTCAAGCTAGGCAATGGTTGATGAAACTGGACCTTAGGCCAAACGTCGTTAGATATAAAGAGACGAAGAATGGATTAAGCTAAGCTTAAAGTTAACGGCGTTGGTGAAACCAAGCCGTAGAAGTAGAGGAAATTCACCTATTATGAGGTAGATTCCTAATATAAGATAGTGGAGTTTCCGCAAAATTAATTGACATCGTCTATTGATTCCACCATGCATTCATTGCCCTTGGAGTGAAATCTGTTTGGTGGAAAATTCATTGTTAGATCGTGTAATCGTTGCGAGAAAAGACTTGTGACTGAATTTGGACGTTGAAAACTTACTATCTCATATTAGACCCTTATCTCATAATAGAGGACTTTCCTCTATTATACATATAAGAATAACCAAGTTTTGACGTGACATCACCAGAAGCACTGCGGCTACAGAATTGTCATTTAAGAATGATTTTAATTACTATTGGCATTCGATACGAAATTTACCGGGAATGTCCAGCAACTCGTAAATGCTCCATTTCCTCGGTGATCTCAGGCCGAGATCGTCCTCGACTCGTCCGCCAGTTACACGCGCTTCGATCCTTCTAACCTAAAAGCAGCGTTTGCGATTAACCCTCGGAAGAACGTACGACTCGCAGTATCACATACCGCGACGCGATCTGGACTTTCTAGATCGATCACGTCGTCGAGATCGGGTGCGGGTTTCCGGCTTTTGTAATATTTGAAACTGTCCCGGAACATCTCTCTCCTCGACCGTGCGGGCCGCCATGTTTCCTTCGCGCTCCGCTGCGCGCTGGCGCCGTACGCGAGATCCGCGAGATGACGTGCACGCGCGGGCGTTTTCGTCAAATTTCGAATTACGGTCGTTCGCTCACACTTGACCGGAAACGAACGTACTTTTAATTAAGTCTAGTTTTTATCTTCATACAAAATACAAACGATTCCGTGTAGAAACTTTGTTCGGTTTATCTCTTCCGGCTAAATGCGAGTAGAAAAACAATTAATTAATTAATTACAAATAGACGAGTGACTGACAAACCTTTTCAGTTGCTTCTTCGTACGAAATACAAACGAGCGCAAATAGGATCGTTATTTAAAGATACGTTCATTTCCGGTCAAGTGTGAGCGAACAATACGATCGAGATATCAGTTCGAATCGTGCCAAGAGTCATAAAAAAGCATCTCTAGAAATCATGCGGGCAGCGGGACGTTTTATAATTACATTTTATGTAACTGTACATCCGTAAAGATTGTGTGTACAAAAAATCAATGAGTAACGATTCGAAATATTATAATGGCACACACACAAATAAAATAGGTGCAAAGATCGCTTGAATACCAAAGCCAAGATAGCAAAATATGGCGGATATAATTAAACAAGAACAAGTTCAGTATAATTGAAACAAATTCGTTGAAACAACATCGATATTAATGAACGAAAAATCAGATAGTTGTCTTAATAATCTTAATATTTAGTTCAATGCTTAAAATTAAAGTCCATAGTACAATTGAGCGAATTATTTATGTTTGTAGCAGCCCGTGACGTAATTCAAGCAACTTAAATTTTTTTTTAATTCAACAGCATTTACAGAGTCCCGCAAAATTTTGATTGTCGCGCTGCACGGTGGAGAAATCAATTCTTCGACCATGCACGTTGGAGCGTATCGATACACCCGGGGGCATATTACACTGTCTGACTAAGAACGGAAAAACGTGCCCGAACCGGGCGGACACGTAAACTATACGCGCCACCCACTATTATTACTCAATGTACTTTGCATATCTTCATCGAGCCGGGAGATTACATCGGGAAAGCGTGGCGGTTTCTCGCAATGGCTTACCTGAAGTCTCGGAGGCCTCGGAGACAACTTAAAGCGTCTTCATCAAATTTCGAAAGCCCCCTAAAAGCAGAAAACAACGCTTACATAAAGAAAATAATTTCTTTATGCTATACTTATTTCCAACAATCCTAGCGGAAAAAATTTCTGTAAAGAACTACGAAAAATTGACTTGAAATAGAAATTTGTATATCTTCGTCGAAACATTAATTTTTTTTGTAAAAATATCTACGAAATAGTACCACAAATTACAATATTTTCAAATTAAAAAACTATTGCAAGTAGTATTTCATGAAAATGCACAATTTTCATGAAATATTACCTATGAAATAAGTAGTAGGAATAAGAAAATACTACTTCATGAAATACTACTGTAAAAATTAGTACGAAACTTTATTAGTTTTAAAAATTTAAGGAACAACAAAATTTTTAAGAATTAAAACATTTGCTTACTTGTAGAATATCACAAAAATTAACAAAAGTGTTCCAATTCTAGCATTTTTATGTTGATTTTTATAACACTTTTTAAATCTACGTAGAATTTCTTAGATTCTGACAGTATATATAAATTTTTTGTAGAATTTTGTAGAATTATTTCCAGCAGGGGAATGTGAATAAACGATCGATAACTTCCAATAATTTCCTTGTTTCGGCCATATTAAATATTAATAAGGTAATCGTCGGCCGAGGTAATCGAAGATTGATTCAAAGTCAGCCTAAATCCGTCACTTGCGCGTGCGGCAATTGTCTGTGACTAATTTTAGCGCGCGACTTTTCGCATAATATGCGGCATTGCCGAGAAACGGCATGATTTCATAGGATAGCTGCGAGCAGGGCAGGGCACCGTGCAGCAGCGCCTCTCAAGGCTTTTCGAAAGCCTATACCGCGAGTAAATTAATAGACGCGGCAGGCCGTGGTAATAATGATCGTCCATTACCGTCGCGCTTCTATTCGCCATAAATCTCGCCCACCCGCCCAACCTGACCACACGCTAAATCCGTTGTTCACCCGCGCACCTGCGACGATCGTGTCGCGTGTATCGATCGCCGTTCGATCGACCCGAATATCCTCGCCAAGAGGGAGTCGAAGTTATCGATCGACGAGAAGAAAACTTGACGCGCGCGTCAACAATTTTTGAACAAGTCAGAGACCGCGGAAAAAGTTGCTAATTAATAAAAGTACATGCGACAAAAGGTCAAGTTTCGTACATTTCATTCGTACACGGTTCGCGGCGGACTTAGGGCTCTTTTACTTTTCCAAAAATTGAACTTGATCGTTTCTTCGTATATTTTCCCATCTATCCGTTTCATTGAACGCTCGCTCAGTGAGAACATTAACGTCGAATCGACGTCAGTGGGGTCGAAACCGTCAGTTTTCGAAAACAATTAGGTTTTGGAACTTAATTTTTATACTAAATTACTATGTTCAACGTTCTGAATGCTTTTAACATTCTATTGGAGGGAACTGCCAAGTTAACTTATTTAATACAAAATTTCATACAAAGAAAGTCCACAATTTTAAATTATTTTCGAAAACTGACGGTTGGGACGCGGTCTCGACCCCATTGACATCGATTCGACGTTGATTCGACGTTAGTGTTCTCTCTCTCTCTCTCACACACACACACACGTACACACACACACTGGGTTGCGTCCGAAATGAAATATATTCTCCATGGAGCTAATTACATCTCGCGAGTAAGGAGATTGACGTCGCAACAACTAGCGTCAAGTGATTTCTAATTCTGTAAATTAGAACGTGGAGCTGGCGTAAATATTTTTCTCTCTCTCTCTCTCCGTTTGCCCGGTCTTGGCGTCCAGGCGGCCGCGTCAGTAAAAAGAAAAAAAATGCTCCGTGCCGTCGGGAGGCTGACGTTTCTGGCGGAATCGAGCGGCTCTAGGAGTGCCTAGAGAGGAGCGCGACACACGCACGCGGATCGAATGTGCCGGCGCGGCGTGACGCGGTAAGGGAGCGGTGCGCGTACTCTCCCTGACAGTTTCATGTCAACAAATGTCGCGGCCGAGGCGTCGGCGTCGCGCCCAGCCAGCCCGCCAGCCTCTCGGCCAAGCCGAGCCAGGGCCCCGGCGGGATCCGCCGGCGCGTATTCGCGGAGTCGCGCCGCGGGCCAATCGCGGCGGCCCGCGACGCCACCGCCGGCGAATCGGCGCGCGCCGCGGTGACGACGCGGGCTAAATATAGCCGGTATATATCTAGGCCGGTCGCGACCGCGAATTATCCACAGTCGCGCGCCGGCGGCCGACGGAGGAGGATAAGCGGATTATCGGACGGAGCGGATTTATAAGTGCGTGCGCAGTGCGCTAAGTGCGAGCACACCGGGGCGCCGGACACGAGTTGCGAAGGTAGGAAATCCGACGCAGACGCGCCTCCGACATCGAAACGTCCGTCTCTGTCTCTATCTCTCTCTCTCTCTCTTTCTCTCCCTCCCTCGCTCCGTTTCGCGATGAACGCAATGGATCTCGGAATGAACCGGGTGGAGGGTAGGAAGATAGGAAGAGCTGCACCCGCGTCAAATTCGGAAACACGTGGTCGCCATGACAAACGCGCCTCTGTTCGCGATCAACGCGGGCTCCGTTACAGCTATTCTCGGGTCGCGTCCGAGATCGGCGGGCAGAGACCGCCGGATATTGTGTTTCGCGACTTTTGGCCGGGCGCGGGATTTCGCCGCGCGCGCGGCGTCAAGTGCGCGACGTACGGCGTGACGTTGCGCGCGAGGCGAGCGAAGAGTATTCGATCCCGTGCTCGGTTTCGCCGGACCCTCTCTGCGCTTTTCTCGACTTTCGAAAGCGCACGGCCGACGGCGGAGAACGATCCGTAAACGCTCAAGTTTGTCTCCGTCGTAGACGTGGCGAGGCGGAGAAGAACTCAAGTCGCATACGATAGACTTTGACGACTAAGACAGTCTTGGAGCGAGTTTCACACACGTCGGTTAACTGCTAGCCGAAGGTTAATTGATTCTCTGTCTCTTCGTAGAATACAAGATAGGGAAAGATAGGAAAAGATAGGAAAAGATAGGAAGTTGATCGAACTCTGGTTAACAGCTAGCCGACGTTTGTGGAACTGGCTCTAAGTTTCTAGCTTCGCGTGGAATGAAGGGAATGATCTGCTATAGCGTTTAACAAATTATACATAATGTAGCATATTATAGGTATACATATATGACACATTACGTTCTTGCCGAAGGGCCGTTTTCGTAAGAGGTGTTTTCGTAAGAGAGCAAATAAATTAAAGGCCGCGGCGTTAAAGCACGACAGACGCCAGAGCGGTTTCGAATCGGTGCGCGCGAGATATCGAGATCGCGTTCGATATATCGGGGGGGGGGGAGGGGGGTTGCGTCACGGGGCCAAAGGGAGAGATAGCTGCGGTGCGTTGCGTCTTGACGTTACATCCGATAAGGTTATTACGTGTCGGATTGACATAATGCCCGGCGCCTGGGATTTGCGGTCACGCGTGATCTCCCGCGCGGCTCGATCGATACCTTCCCACGGGGGGGAATTTTCTTTTTTCTTTCACCGATATACGCGCGACGCGCGTACGCGCGTGAGATTCAAATCGCCGCGGCGCCGCCGCGATACTCCGAAGTTAGACGTCAGTCCGATCGCGAAGCGCGATTTGGATTGATTTACGTGGGTTTTATAGCCACGGGCTCGCAATTGCTCAAGGTCGCGACGCCACGAAGTAGAACTTCGCCTGCCGTCGTAGTTGCAATGTTGCCACGAGAGCTCGCGGTGGAAACACTTATCGCGTTAAGCGCGCCTCGTGTGTGCTCGCTCCTATTCGCTGTGAAAACATTTCAAGAGAGGCGGAGACTTCCAAACTTGCTCGTCCCATTCGAAATATGGAGGTTCCCAACCCTTTTTTTTAATCGCTGAAACTAAATTAAAATCTTGGCGATTATCGACCGGGCGGGTGAGTTTTATTTAAAAAATCGGATAAAAAATATCTCCGTTTCTCTCTTTTTCGTCTTTATATTCTTTTATATTACAAAAATCTGACTTAGCAACGTCTGCCCCGAATCAAAGACGTAACAACACATAAGTTATACATGTTTAACAAGAAGCATATAAAAATGTAAAAAATTAAGGCAAGTTACTGGACTCTCGAAAATAAGAAAGGATTTAGGCTGTGAGAGTCAAACGCGATTCGCGTGTGTCAATCTAATATAATTGTTCAAATACAATTCTTGATTACACGCGTCGTATTAAAAGCATATATATAACGTAAAAATTTCTTGGCGGCCTGTACAGCCATTGACAAAATTATTAGGCACCCTCCTAATCGTTATACTGTACTGAATCTAATACCTGGGAAATTTCTATTTCTCTTAATTTGTTTACTATAACGTTTATTGCTTCTGCACAGTAAACAACTTTTAAACAATAAAAATCTTTCTAGTATTAGATACAGTACAGTCTACATTGAAAATCTAAGCGTTACTTTTACATATTTGTGCAATTTGGTGAAGCACTTTTTATACACACCTCTTTTCGTTTAAAATCGTAACGTATGACGCGATATGCGTTATTTTAACATTATTTTTAAACGGACAGGAATGTGTAAATGACGTTGATCAAGTAACACGTCGCGACTTTAAATAGAAGAAAGCGTGCAAAAAGTGTTACACCAAATTACACGTATATGTGTATAAAAGTGACACACTTAGAATTTGCAGTGTGATGATTAGGTGGGTGTCTAACAATTTTGTCCATGGCTGTAGGTCGAGGACCCCTGGATATTTCGGAGGCATTAAGTCAAGTATCGGCTCGTATTTCAAATATCTTATCGCACAACGTCGCTCAATATCAATCGTTATAATTGAAGAGCTAAAGTTATTCCCTTCTGCGTCTCTTATTTTGCTATTGCAGATTAACGATGGAGCGACTTTTTCCGAAATTTTTTCTCGGAAACTTTTGCACTCGTTTCACGACGAATATTATTACTTCATATCCAGTCGGACTGTGATTATCACATTACAATTATTTCTTTTTCGTGTCTACGTTTACTTGTCACTTGCATCTGGTCTCTTTACTTCATCTTCATCCCATTTCATCTCACATTTATCTCTCCACTGTCTCTGAACTTTCGAGCGAGTTCTTTCCTCGAAACTGGTGTTCGCGAGTGAGTGAGAGAGAGAGAATAAAGTGGGACGAGGCACTCGCGTATTGTGCGCCTCTCTCATGAATATGAATGCGCAATCGTTCGTGTCTAAGCGCGTGTCTTTGAAGTTGGCTATCTATTATCGCGTTTACGAGATACGCGACTTGCAGCGCATGGACGAACGAGCGCGGGCAGCAGCCGCCGCCGCTGATTTGTGTGTGGTTAGCCCGGAATAAATTATTTCGGAATTTAGAACACGCGCCCGAAAATAATTTCTTTCCCGGAGAGCCGCCGACCTCTCGTTCGCGTGTTCTGCTTGACGTACCTTTGACGTATCGATACCGCTCCCGGCAAATCCCTCGGTTTCGTAAATCCTTGTTCCTCCGCGATTTTCCCGGTAGAACAGCGACGAGACAAACTTGAGGTGCTACGAATACTTGATCAATGCCCTTCCTCGAGCCGCTTTTTTTTATCCAGAATAAAGCTGAGAAGGAAAAAAGAAAACAATAATTAACGGGAGACCATTAATATTTATTGTGAGGTGCAAAAATATGGTTATTAATGTAGGCCGGCATTCATGGCTATTCCTTGAGAAAGGATTGCTTATTTCACGCATAAATGTGTGTGCATATGTCTGCATATATACATGTGTAAATAAGAAATTCTTATTCATCAAGAAATGATTGTGAATCATCTATACTTTGCAAACTAAAATTGATAATCCTAGGTAATGAAAGTGATAAAAATTCGACAAATTGTAGACAGTTCAGTCTGAATGCTGTTTCCCGTTTCTGTGTTTCGAGTATTACGTGTGCACGTGGACAATATTTTCCAGCCGTTTTCTCAGAGGAATGCGATAACGTTTATCGCACATCTTTCTCTCGATGAGATGAACGAACCAGGTATCGCATAGGATGGGCGCGTCGTGCAAAAGCCGTTGTTACTAAATTATGTGACGGATAATAGAGTACCACACACATTATACGGTATGCGATACTTGTGAGATTGTCAGTCGAGATCGCGTGGGTGAGGGCACTGAGAGAAGAAATCCGGAGGAGCTTTCTTAAAAAAGAAGGAGCACAGTTTAAAAAGCTATATACATATATATGTATATGTATATATTTTTTAATAAATTACAGGAAGTATACAAATTCAAACTGGGACAAAAAGAAGAAGAAATTTAGGCAAACGATGTAAATTTATATGACAATTTTAATGGCAGAAAATGAGAGATTATGCGCGCGTCAATAAAATCTTTCTTGAAAAATATTCACGAGTCCGTAACAGCGAGATAAATTATTACAAAAATAAAAGTAAAAGATTAATGAAAGTTAAAATTTCGCAGCGTGGTTTTTTATCAGTCGCACAAACAGTTTGACATTAAATTGCACGTCTCCGATGTTTGCTTTCGCCGGCAAACTTCCTCCGGCGTTGATAACCTTTGCAGAATAATAATCTTATCTCGCGCATTTGCTATGCAAAGTTACGAAGGTAACCACCTCGGTGCTATCTGCTCCATAATTGTTGTTAGAAGGTTAAAGCTAACGTGTGTGATGTGACAAACAAATTTCTCTAGAAATCGTATGAAAATTCCAATTGTTAATCGCTTTTAAATTAAAATCACCATTGCTCTCGAAATGTTGCACAATCTTTCTTTTTTTTTCATATATAGTTTCGGTATTATGTTACTTGCGAACGAATGCCAACTTGGCGCCGACCGGATTAATGTCATATCGACGTTGTAAACTGGTTAGAGCGATATTAAACAAGATTATCAAATTGCAACACAAATATCTCTGTCGCGATAAATATAAACAAGATCTAACGTATCATAAGTAAAATTTCGTATACAAATAAGATTGTACATAGACATACACATATAATACAACATAGATTTGGATAAAGTTTCCGAAGAAACGCGAGGAGTAACAACGGAAACATAGCGAATCCATTCGTCGTTTATCGAAAGTCATCAATGCCGCATAAAATATTTTTATTTAACTAATCCCCGACTTACAACTCTGTCAAAGTCTCAAGTCCAACTCAGATGAATGATGATTTTATTATATACTTGCGCTTTTCAAGCTTAATCGGCGCTATCTAAAATTAACAATCGCGATTGTACGACACGATCGTCGTTTTGGCGCTGGGCGATTCTTCTGTCATTAATTAACAGAGGAAAGTCCTCTATTGTGAGGGTAACAGGTTTTCAACACTCAAATTCAATCACAAACCTTTTTTCGCA